TTTTGAGTCAAAACAACCCTAGACCACGGAATCCTATACCTCAGGCGAAGTCTTCAAGATCGTGACCTCCTCACAATGAGTCTTTCATGTTCGTGGCGTCATTTTTGGCAAGGTTACTGAGCAAACAACCTCATTCTGGCCACTTCTTAGATGGAACCATCAGTTTGGTATCTCTTCAGGTCATGAGGCTCGAACCAAGTTGAATTCTTCTCCCATTTCTCTAATAATTGCAATTTTGTCCTTAAACAATCAGATTGAAGAAAGTTAGCCCCTGAAGTTTCAGGATCTTCTACATGAGTCTCTAAAGTTCTATTTGTGCTAGTTAGTCCTTGAAGTTTCAGAATATTACATATTAGTCCTTGAATCGTTAAATTTCCTTAACTTTCAGATTGAAGCAAGCCATCCCCTTTTGATACCCTCTACTAGAGTTTAGAACGATCTTTCTATTGTCAAATATCCTTCGACCTTTCTCAGTGCTGCATGATCCATGATCTTGGTTGACCCAGCTATAGGTGTTCTGATGGCTGAGAGGCTAAAGACTTTTTGGTCAAGTCTTGGTTCATAAATTCAATAAAGAACAACCTGATGTCACATTTTGCTCAATGTGTCATGACTATAGAAGTTAAGGATGCAGTGAAAATAAGTATTATTATTATTATTATTATTATTATTATTATTATTATTATTATTATTATTATTATTTACTCCTCACATGCATATAAATGATGAAGTCGTTCCAATTGTGTCAAGGTGGTCAACCTCTAGCTGAATACTACAATGAATTTAATTCCATATTAATATAACTTAATTATTCGAGGCCTAATGATATGACTTGTGCAACCAATATTGAGAAGCAGAGAGCATAATGCTGAGTATCAGATATATATATGTTTCCTACAGAACTTAACCACAGCATGGATCAAATTAGTAGTCAAGTTTTGATTCTCTCTCCTCTACCATGTTTGGAAGAGACCTCACTAGTCCGTCGTGAATAAAAAGGCAAGTTACTATAAAGACTGAAGTCATCTCTGGAGCTTCAATTTTGGTTATGGTCAGCCACTTCAGCCCCCTCAACCAAGTCCTGCATCCACTGACACGGTACCACACAAAGTTGATGTTTGGTGAAAACTACATGGTCACTCCAATTGGTTCAAAAATAAGCAAGCTGAAAAGAAGAAATGTGCTTGGATTGCTAACTATCAGCCTCTCCATCTTTTGCTGCTCATTTATCTCAAGTAAGCCTTCACACAAGACAATATAACCAAGGCCGTTATTGGAACTAGTAGAAGAGGGAGGTTTTTACTACTTGAAGTTGCAATCAAAATCCAGCAACATGTTTCAAGTAGCAAGTCATTCTATAAATCCAAGTTGAGCTTGTGTCAATGCATCAACTTGTGGGTGTTGGAATAGGAGATTAGTTTTCTATTTTAAGAGTTGATTGTGTTTCTGACGTAGTATGTAAGAGGAAGAATTATAGGAGAAGGGGAAACGGAAGAGAAGAAGAGAAAGGAGATAAGAAGATGGGGAAGAGGAAGATAGAAATTAGAAAGAAATCACTTTACTTCATTCAATCAAAAGTTGTCTTCCTTACATTGCATAACCCCCTTTATATAGGGTTTACAAAATATAACTGAGGAAAGAAATGATATAAAAGTTATTAAATCACATTCTAATCGTATTTTCTAAAATATGAATCAAAATGGGAAACTAAATAATTAAAATCCCTATTAATACTCCATCAGTTTCCCATTCTACTTTAATTAGGAATTAATTAAGAAGAATATTATTGTTTCATTTTCCGTTTCATTCTATAGTTATGACTAGTTTTTTCTTTCCTTTCATAGGTTGGGTTATAACTAATATAAATAGCATTGATGAAAAAAATCGTTCAGCCTAAAGAAGAAGAAATGCCCTACATGACCAGCATGCCTAGGGAACAGATTCATTAAACTTCCGAATGAGTTGAATTAGAGATCGAGTCATTTTACCTTTGTCAGCTGTCCTTTGCCGAACAACTCTGGCCTTTGCAGCGGTAGCATTACCAATTCCTTCACAGTTTCCTTCACATTCTCCAATGCTCCAATGTCATCAAAAGTAACTCCAATATCACCAGGTGGAATAACATCAGCAAGCAGTCTTTTCTCAAATTCATTCTCGGTAACCACATCCTGAAAACTCAAGCAATCATTTCCCTATCTCAAGTCAAAACAGAGTGGAAAACATCTGGCAAACTCATGTGCAACTTAAGAATGCAAAGTTTCACCTTGAGAGATTTCTTCAAATTCTTGTTTTCATTTAGAATGCCCTGAAGAATGTTGAGCCCATATCTAATACTGCAAAATAAGGCAACATATAAGAATCCTGATAGCTAGTCATTTCATTTGTTATTTCTTATCCTCTCTTTAATCCTCTTCAATCTGTCTCCTAACAGAATTACTGTAAAAGAATAAAAATATTAACTCACTCTTTGCTTGAAATAGCAAGTTTGGACTGTTCGACTGATACTTCAGAACAGTGCATCAACTGATGAATTAAAGCCCAGCCAACAATTTTTTCAACACCTATCATCATTGGAACAGCCAATTAAGTGCATGGTACTCCATTTGACAATTCAAATCATGGAGAAAGGACCTACTTTCAGTTGTCAAAGCTTGGTCTTTGATGCATATAGTTTCAAGATCAGGACAATCAAGACCGATTTGATTTAGAACCTGAAATCCATACAGAAAAGAGAAATAGCACAGTAAATCAAGATCAATGAGAATCAGCTCATCGAGAGATTCAGATCATTTGGTTAAATTTTCATTTATACACTAGAAATTGAATTCTACACGGGAAATCCGTAACGGTACATATACCATTAAATTAACCAATCACTTCACCAGTACACCATCATGACCACAAACTTCCCCATATACATGAAGTTAGAACAATTTCTAGAGAAATAATTAAAAGAAAAAGAGGACCTCCAACCCACCCTCCCTCCCCCTCCTCCCAAAAAAAGTTGTAAAAATATACACCAAACAATAATCTAGGCAGAAATTGGGCACACTTTCGTACATATAAAAGGCCAACCAAACCAAGTTCATCAGATAAAGTGTTATATAAAACTGCAGCTATGTTCAAGAACAGGGATATATTTAACTCATATTCAAACAGACTGCTGAAGACCAACAAAAAATGGCAGATAAGTACATCCAATAAGCAGATAAGACTCACCGAGCGAATGCTACCAATATTTGACTCTGATTTCATTGTTTCAATATCAATGTCTAGTTGTTTTTTCCATTCTAATAGTACTGTTTCATCCTGTCAAATTCTAACCATATCAGAAGCTGGCATCTAACATTAACAAAACAAACAATAAATAGAAAACAACTTCTAGTAACCTGAGGAATCTGTATAGTCACTTTGTTTGGGAAAAGACGACTGAGCTGCTTCAGTGTCTTTGGGGTTTCTTTACTTCGATCATGCAACCTACCAAAATTATCCTAGAAAAAAGAGAGAGACTGAGTTCAATCTTTAATATATCAATTTCTGCAAAGAAGAAAAGGAGTATAGCATGCAAGGGGGTTGGTATACTGCAGTAGCCCAGTCTTCACACCTTAAAAATCATTTTGAACTATATGAAAACTGTTTGTCTGCAACCAGTGAGAGGAAAAAATGATGTTACCCTTATCAAAATGGAAGTCCAATAAATTTAGGTGGCCTCAAGACAATATGTGGATTAAACGAGCCATATCACTAAATTTATGAATAACAAAAATATAATTGTTTCCCATGTCATCATTTATTATGCTCATTGTGAGATGTTAATTAGCTACAGAACACAAAATTTAACAAGAGAAGCACACAAAAACTCAAAAGTAACTTCACATATATATGTTAAAAACACTATTAGTCACTCAACTTGTATTTTTTTTTTTCCTTTGGTCATCAGACTTCTTTGTTTCTAAGTAGTCACCTAATTTCATATAAATTTCAGTTTTAGGTACTCAGTCTACCTCGCATCTCCATCTTCCGAATTAAAAGAAATTCAGGCATTGAAATATGAAAATGATCATAGCTTGAAAAATCTGTCTCTGCATTACTTTCATCGTCCAATTAGGCAAAAAAGCATCTTGTTGGAAAGTCACGGTTTCTCTGTTTCTTTATAAAAGCACATTTGACACAACTTCTCCATCAATACACGATTTTCCCAGGAAAAAATAATGCACTAATGGGTTTTTCAAGTCATTTCACCGTTTCCATTAATCACAACAGCATTTTCTTTAGTTTAGCAGGGCAGTGTATGCATTTATTGAAACAAAAATCAAAGTTAATGGACCAACTTGGAAAGTACAAGGGTTGTTTACCGAAGTGAAACTATAAGTTGGGTTATGAACAATTTTACATAAACACACAAATGCATCCTTGCTACCAAACTTTACATAATATCAAAACACATGAAAACACTGGAACAATGTCACCTGCCAAGTGTACGCAACACCAATACCAAAGTGAAACTCTAAGTTGGGTTATGAACAACTTTACACAAACACACAAATGCATCATTGCTACCAAACTTTACATAATATCAAAACACATGAAAAAACTGGAACATTGTCACCTGCCAAGTGTACACAACACCAATACGAATACCACCATCAACACCCCCCCCCCACCCCCCAAAAAAAACAAAAAAGAAATCATAAATACATATTAGGAGGAGAATTTCCCAGGGTAAAAAGACCTTAACTTTCGTAAAAAGAAAACACAAGAAAAATCAAACAGAGAGATCACAAGCGAAGAGGAAAGCTAAAAATACATCCACATCCATTTAAACAGGCGTACCGGGAAGGCAAGGTCCAGCAATGCCGTTTGGTTGCTTCCAAATTTTGTGAACAGCAATCCACCAGAATGGGACTGAATGCACAAGTATTGCATAATTTCAGTTTTACGAATGCATGTGACACGTATGTATACATATATACACAATGGGCTGAGAAAGCAAAAACAAGAAAACTACAACTTACTTTCTCCTTTCGGTTGTCTGTCTGAGTATGAGAAGCTATGATAACAACATTATCAGGTAATGTTTCAAGCTTACTTTTAAAGGCTGCATATGCCTCAGGATTTCCAACCATGGACTTCTCCAAGTCTTTCATAAACAAAATTAGCGGACTACTTTTACTTTCTACAGAAGCAACCTACAAAATTACAACAAATGCACTCATGAACAAGATACAGGCAACTCATAAGCCATTATTTTGTTGACAATTCTTATCAAATATAACCTATAATGTGAATTAACCTCAAAGAGTTCATTAATGGCAAGCTTGTCAACATCATCAGCATTGGAGCTATCTAGACGTAATAAGTCAGCTGCAAAGAAATAAAACCAATAGGCGGAGTCGATGATACTTGATCATGAGTTCAAATCAAACAAATAAAACCAGATAATCCGAACAAATACCTGCACAAAAGAAACCATGATCTTCTTCACAGAGGCCCCCAAGATCAGTACCGTCTGGAACTGTTCTATCAAATCTAACCCCAACTTTAGAAGAACCATTTTCCTCAAAAGCAAGTATCACCTTGCCTCTATAACCATATGTTGGACCTCTGCACCGAACAGATACAATACCACGTGTATGAAAAGAGCTGAATCACACAATGTAAACATTATATTATTAATCCCCGCACCAATCGAATAGTAAGTTTAAATCTTGTGTCCTTGGTTTTGTAGATCAACAAGCAAAAAATATATCAAAGAGCTTGAAGACACGGAAAGATATAAGGATTATTCTCCGTGACATTTTTTCAACTGTGTGGATTATTTTCCTTAATAATTGGTTGTATTATTATCACAATTTTTCTCTTTAGAGTTACTCCTAGCCCTATAAATAGAATCTTCTGCCTTATAATAGGGACACGAGTTTATTATATACAACTTGTAATATTCTAACATGGTATCAGAGCAGGATTAATAGCTTCCATTCTCCGAAGAGCGGCAAACCAAGTCTTCTTATTTTGTTTAGATATCCTTAACTATTTAGATTCTTTTTATTTCTTTTATATATTATGTTCGGCCATGTCTTTTCTTTTTTTTTTCCTTTATTTAATCTGAATTTGGATTTTAGATTAATTATGTTGGACAATGGATGTTCATGTTGCCAAACTTCTGATGGAGATTTTCTCCCTTTGTTGAGCCAGAAATTGTATTTGGCGGAGATTTTATGGCGTGAAAGCAGAATTGAAATTCTTGAAACAAGAATAAAGTTAAAGAATTAGAAACTATGCAAGGAATAACTTTATTGTATTGAATTGATTATTGTGCAAAGCCTTTATTTATATAGGCAAAATTATTCCTTAAATCTTATTAATATAAGGAAACTAAAATAATTAAACTAAATTTTAAAAGGCCTCTACTTTGTAATAGAGACACAAGTTTATTATATACAACTTATAATATTCTAACACAAATTAATATAACATCTGCATATGCGAGAACAATTTTCGCCAAAGTGCGGGACTTCTTGCCTCTGATCATAAGAAATTCAATATAAAATTTAAGATGCCTAGTTACATTACCAATCCACCCTCAGTCCCATGTATCTTCCAATTCTTTTGGTGCAACAACTCACAAAAAACTCAAGCGGGTCACTATGAGAATTAGAGAAGATGAATATGTAGCATGTACTAAACCTCAAAGGGACATAATATTACTACAAATAGTCTCAATAGATTCATTGAGATTTCTGCTTTCTTCTTGAAAGTGTAGTGTACATGGCACAAAAAGAAAGACCGTATGCAACCCTGGCCTTGCATACACGCAAGAAAGCAGACATATGTGCGTGTGTCCTTCTACATGTGCTGGGGGGAGGGAGGGAGAGAAAGAGAAAGAGCATGCATACTTTGTAAAAGAAATATGAGGAAAAACAGGACCACTGGGTTTCACATAGACCTAAGCAACAAACAAAAAAGCCAATAAGACCTAAAGGTCCCTTATAAGGTTTAAGGATGCCTTTGTATGGTACCAGCACTACAATACTAATGGCAGGGCTTATAACCCCTCAGTAATTCCAGCAAATTTCTGCCATGTTTAGGTGGTGACGAGCGGTTATAATTATTGATATATTCATTAGTTACATAGCATAAGTAATTTATAAAACGTCACGTATCCAACTTGTCACTGGGAAGTTGATCTCAGATAGGTAGCACATTTACCTTATTGGCGTTTGAGGAGAAAACCCTGATGGTAATGAACCCACATACTTCACCCTATCACCTGCCAAAACATGGAAGCACCAATTCAACAATATGGGACTATTTCACCACCACCCAGAGGGAAAAATAGATCCTTTGGTCCTGTGAGCAACTACAGGGGCTAGTGGATGGTTTGAAAGATCCAGACAACTTCTACAGTACTCTGACCCCCGTCCCCCACC